CCGTGCACGGTGTCAGTAAGTCTGTTCTCTCTTGCTGTGGCTAGGAGGCTATTGTGCTTGATGTGATGCCAGCAAAGAGGTGGTTCTTGCCCCAGAGAACTTACGATCCTAAAAGTAAAATTAAGAAACTCCACAGAGTTTTGGTCCAGTCTTTACTTGATGATTGTTTTCACAACACTCTCCCAGTGTCTGAGCTTTCCTACTGCACCCCAGACAAGTAAAACAACAAAATACTCCATTCAGCAAAATTCATACACATCTCCAAAGCAACTGTTGAAAAAAAAGGTTGTACTTTGAAACTTTTGGTAATGATTTTATTATCAGCTTCTCATTTATTTCTGCCATAAAAACAGTAAAGAAAATATTTGTTTTTCTTAAATGCTCAGCATTTATTCTTTGAGGCTTGGGTGATCTTTTAGAGAATTTTCAGGAAAATCTGTTAATAACTTGTTACACTGTATATAAATGGAATATTTATTTTCTGACCTTTAAATGTTTGCTTTTCCAAAGAAAATTAAGAAAAATATTTTAGCTGTTCTTGAAACCAGTAGTTTGAATTCAGTTGTAATCAGAATTTTGCTGTTTTCACTACAGGGCATGGTTAAGGTCCTTAGGGTGTCTGAACCACGTATATCCTGGTTAAGGTAAATACATAACTGTGTTAGGTTGGGTACTCTAGTGATCATAACCATGCGCATATAAATCATAACATTTAAATTACTTTAATTTGAGCTCAGTCATTTCTACACCTATCTTGTCTGTTTTTTCATTTGTAATTCAGATAATCAGCTTCCAGTTTTCAAAACATTAATCTCTTCCCTCCATGATTAGAGAAGTTATTGTATTTTGAATCTTTACACAACATAGAGACCAAAAGTTGTAAATTTGTATAATTTACTCCTCTTCCACAAGAAATATACAAGAAGTGTATATTTTTTTCAGCTAAACCAAGACTCCCATCTTCATTGAGGCTCTAGCCCTGTAGCGGGAGTGCTGAAGTGCACCCTGTGAGCAGGACGTGTCTGAAGCAGAGATTGTTCTGGACGCAAGAAGACAGGCCAGTGCTGATCTACATCAGGCAAGGAGACGGCTAGTAAAAGCTTCTTCCTCTGACTTTTGTTTCCTTGTAGTGAAAAAAGTACACAATGCGTATCTCTGCCCAAGACAGAAGAGAATGAGGACCTCCATTCTTACATCTTAATGGTGCAGGATTTCAGCACCTTAAAAACTTAATTGTATTTGTCCTTTCAGCTCCTTCCTGAGGTCAGGCACTGCTATCCCTTTAGCAGCTGAGGGTCCATGGTCCAGGATGGCAGCACTATTTCTGTGTTCTCTGGAGGCCTATGGGGTAGGACGTTGCCCTTTCTTCCTTCTTCCCTCATAACCTCTTCCATATGTATTTTTGTTACTAGGACACAGTGTTGCCCTCAGGTGTCCATGGCCTCTTAAAATCTTATTCTCAAAGGTACTGGTTACCTTCAACTCTCATTACCCACTGTTGTCACTTCTAACATGAATTCTTTTAGCCTTGTGATCCATTGTGCTACTTGACGAAACTATACTCATGAAATGGTGATTCAGAATGAATCTGTGCAGAAGTAGAACGCAGGATTGGAATAAATATGTATGATCTTCTAAATCAGTGGTTCTCAACCTTTTTGAAGTTGAGTGGCACTTGAGAAAATTGGCTGTGCTCTGTACCTCGCTGAGGTCAGCTCTGAACACATAAGGAGCTGTCACCTTGCTCTTTTGTTAAGTACTTGTGCACTTGCTAGCTTTATGGAAATTATAGTAAATCTGCTTATAATGTGATTGGCAACGTCATTCAGTTCTGTATATCATTCCGGAATGGGTCTATTAAGGACTATATGTTTAATTAGGATTTCCTATACTTAAGTCTTATACTTACTGCAGAAGTATTGGGTATACTAGACCTGAGAGGTGCAGTGATGCGTTTGATAAATAGTGGATCTGTCCTGGAATTTCTGTGTATCCATTTTTCAGGAAAAACTGTTTGATTTTGTTGGCTTGTTGTGTTGTGGGTTTTTTTATCTGGATGAGGTATGTGTACATATATTAAATAATGCTATAAATCTAATAGCGTACGGACACGCCTTAACCGTGCGTGATTGTGTGCATATGTGGTGAGTCTCTCCCACACTTTTCCATCAGGTACATCGTGTCATTGTTACACGTGCTCTGAATGTGATGTTTTCCAGTAAATCTGTGAAGCATGTGGTACATAGCTGATCCTTACATGTGCAATCAACATGTCCAGGATTTCTTCTTATAGAGCAGCCTGGATAGAGCTACAGCACTCCTGAAACTGGGTAGAGTTTTCATGGGGAAGAGAAGACAATATTAACCAAAGAGCCTAGAAATGCAGTGGGCTTACCTAAGTCAAAAACAAAACAAAAACAAAAAAAAAACCCAAACAAAACATTTTCTACTGCTCTTTATCTGGTCAGGAAGGGAGGACACCCAGAAAGGGGGAAATCTAGATAATTGAAGACAATCTGAGAAGTGCAGTGCAGGACATATGAAAACGTGGAATTCGCTTCTGATTGGAGTCTGAGGGTGCTTGCATTACAGTTACTGGTGGTCCAAGGAGGATTAATTAGCCAAGGAGGATTAATTAGCCAACACCAAACTGGCCCTATAGCTTTATGCTGCAGTGAAGGTGATAACCCTACTCACCCTCAGTTCGCGGATTGCTGCCTTTTTCCTGGTTTTCCAAACTGGAAACTACCGCCTGCTTGCCTTCCTTACACCCATGCTCCAGCAGTACCTGTGAGCTGCCATTGCCTCGTAGCTCAGGCAGAGGTCAGGCTGACAAACCCAGTTACCCTCTGCTGGTTCACCCTGGGTATGCTCTAGAGTATCTGCGTCTCCCTCCCTGAGAATCTGGTTTGGAGATACTTGCACCAAGATGAGTTCACAGTAAGATCTATGTCATGTTGTCCGTGGAATGGCATTATATAGCACAATATGTATTCTGCTTTCTATCCTATTTGTGTAAGAATGTGACTATTGGCAGTCCTTAGCTTTTTTGTTTTTATCAATGCCTCAACAGTCTTGTGATAGCATAACTCTTTCTTGTACATGTAATGCTTGTAAGCTTGTGTTTATTTTGTAACTCTGGAAGTCATCAGAAAGTTAGTTGGATTTTGGTAAGATGCTGTTACAGTAAAAGTAAAATTTTCACGTCCAGATTTCTCTTATTAATGTGTTGACAGAAATTTAACAAAACTTATAAAAATTTACACTCTACTGTTGTTGAAGTGCTTAAATATGCTTGTGTAGGGGTGGCAGAGTTTGTTATGTTTTTGATATAGACAAAATGTACTAAAAGATGGTATAAAAAGCAGTTGCAAGGAAAATTCAGATTGCCATCTGGGCCTTTCCATTGCTAACAATATCACCAACTTCTATTTAACAAACAGATGAGGCCAATGTAAAATTACTGAGAGGACGTAGTAAATCAGACATATGCCTCAAATCATGTGATCGAATTTTATATACAAACTCAGAAGGAAGGCAATTCGATTTTTATAGTGTGCTGGTTTATAATGACCTTGAAAAAAATACCACTGAAACAAATAATTTAGACAAAAATTATTTCCTGTTTTCAAAACTGCAAAGTTTTGTCAAGAAGGTCAGCGAAGGTCTTAAGTTTGGAATAACTTATGATATTTGAACATGTAAGCTTTATTTGTATTGGTAGTCTCTTTTGTCTGTGGCAAAGAAACCAAAGAGTGATACATAATGAGGTGGTAACCCAGAAACATATGCCCTTTCAGATTTGTTAGAACGTGGTAGTTTCCTCTCAGCCAGGCCAGATTTTTTTCCTTAAGGTCTGCACCAGTTCTAGCCAAGAGTTCAGTATCATCATAAATCATGTCACCAACTGCTTTCAAATACATTCTTTAGCCCAGATATTAAATATGAAGTTGACTTTTTTCTTCTAAAAGGCACTGTCGTGACGAGTGCTGGAAGCAGAATAGCAGTGTTAAGATGACTTCATCTTAACCAGTTCCCTCTGCTGTGGCTGAGATGTAGGCCCACGTGACTATTAGTTTTGCCGCACATCAGATTTAGGTCATTTGCAAACGTGTCCTCTAACAGTGCAGCTGCCTGCACCTTCTGCTGTCTCCTGCCTGAAGTTACTATTTCCTTAGTAGGGCTTCTTCAACTGTTTTTTTTCTTGGCTATTCTCTAACCTAAATCTATGAAATGATACTTAAAAATATCCCAAAATCATCCCCAATTTTATTTGCAAACAAGTCGTTTTGCACACATAGATTAGAACTTGGCCACACCTGCGTTCGTCCCAGCGCCGCAGAGGGGCAGCACCCTTCAGCCACAGCTTCAATATCTTCTGGGATCAGAGGGCATATTTAAACTGAAGCTGATGATGATGTGGAACCACAGGTCTAGCCATGTGTCAATGTGTGTGTTGTACTCCTGCTCTCTGAATCAGCTTTTGTAAAGCCAGCTCAGTAATTTCTACATTGCACTAAACTTCAGCATGTACACCTATTCTGTGTGAACAGCAGAAACTTGGTGCAGTTTGTGCCACGTAGGTGTCTGATCACAGAAGTTCACTGAAACAGCACAAAGAACAACGTGATACTCCCTGCACTGTAATTCTCACTAGAAGTAGTGCTTCATAATGGAGAGAGGTGATAAGAGTGTGCAGAGGCATTTGCCTGGAACTAAATATGTGGAAATTCTGCATCTTTGAAAAAGATACAAGATTTAATTTACTTATTCAAAACCTCAGAAAGAATCCACGTCCTAATAAGTTAAAGAATCCAGAAGTTTGTGACTTGGTTTGTCTGCATGGGTTGTGCCTCTTGAACTTCACTCTGTGCATCATATATAAATGACAAATACATATATAGAAAATCTTGACATTTACTACTAATGTAGTTGGTAAATGTAGCACACTAAGAAGAAGTGGTTCTGAAATAACAAAGTTTTTTTCTCCATTTTGCTAGTGCTGTTGCTGAGGCTGAAGGAATTGAGCCATTAGTAAATACCTTGAATGCTCAGAGAGATGGAGCCATTGCAAGTGCTGCCGCAGTGCTAACAAATCTGGCCGTGCAAGAGGCATTCCGTGTAAAAATCCAGAGCTGTGGTGTTATGACTGCCCTTGTAGAACCACTGTGCTCAACCAGCAGCCAAGTGCAAAGCAAAGCAGCGTTCGCTGTGGCTGCGTTTGGTTGTGATGCTGATGCAAGAACTGAGGTAAAACTGCTCTTTGTGGTTATTTATAACATCTCTAGATCCTAAGGTTGGTGTTACACTTACCTAGAATCTTTGTGGTTTGTATCTGTCCTAAAAGTCCAGGGCTTTCTAGATAGTAACTAATTTTTCTCTTTCATCATAAGCTTGTTCAGCTGAATTTAGCTTTTTTTTTTTAGTTTGTCAAGATAACTTGGAGCAGGGCTTTCATTAATTTGTATTTTTATCACTGTATTTGCTTGCACCAAATTAATGTTTTACAGTTTTCCAGTGGCTTCAGTGAGCTTCAGCAAGGGCTATATCTTAATCCCCATGTTTATGAGCATTAAACATTAAGGTTTCTTTCAGCTGTTGGCTGAATTTTGAAGATGAGCAGTTCTGTGCTCTTTATTCTCCCTCTGTGTTGTTCTGTTGCCCACTTTCAAGGCCTGAATGGCAATGTCTGACTTTGATTAGTCAAGATCCTGGATGGGCATAGAGTAAATGTAATTCAGACACAACTCAAAATATAATTAATCCCTTGATCAGACACCCAGCAAGTTGATTTTTTTGCTGTTTATCAATGGCCATGGTATTTTCTTTTCATAAATAAGGATGGTGCTATGTGCATTCATAGATCATGAGCTGGAGTTTTCTCATGGGTCAAGGCTGTTAATTAGGACATGAATAAGGGGCATAGATAATTAATCTACCTCTTTCAGTGTCCTTAAAATGTCTTTCTCTTCAGAAATCCAAATGAGCAATATTTCCTCCAGCATGTATGGGAAAGGTACTGTAGCACACAGGAGAATAGGATGTTAATAAGATTGTCATACATACAATGCAATACAAATTCAAATACATTGTGATGTAAATTAGTTGCTAGAAGGCAATGGAACACAGAAGAAGCCGTGTAACTCTCCGGTAGTCTTGAGTTGCGTAGTCTCTTCAGATTCCACAGGGCTATCTTCTAACTGGAAGGCAAGGCAGAGCCAGAAGGGACGCGTGCCTTGCACTGCTCTGAAGCTCATATCAGCTCCAGCCCATGCAGAGTTCACAGAAGCACAGAATTCCCCTAAACATCCTTTCTACCAGCCCAGCAGAGCTTATCTACAAGGCTTGAATGTTTCAGAAGGTGAAGGGCTATCTAGTAACTGGAAGGCAAGGCAGAGCAGAAGGGACGCGTGCCTTGCACTGCTCTGAAGCTCATATCAGCTCCAGCCCATGCAGAGTTCACAGAAGCACAGAATTCCCCTAAACATCCTTTCTACCAGCCCAGCAGAGCTTATCTACAAGGCTTGAATGTTTCAGAAGGTGAATTTCACAGGCTTTTTTGTTTCCTGGTATAGATGGCATATGTAAGTGGTAAAGTCTTCGGGTTTTTTACAGTTAAGAAATTCAGGTGGACTGGGACCACTCGTTGAATTGCTGCATTCTAAGAATGAAGAAGTCAGAAGAAATGCCTGTTGGGCTGTTCTGGTCTGTGCAAGTGATGAGCTGACGGCTGTTGAACTATGCAGGCTAGGGTGAGTAGAAATAATACCAAGGGGCAGATGGAAGATTTTGATGTGAGAGCTCTCTTAAAAGTTGATTTTTACGTATTTATAGAAGAATAGCAAAGTTAAGCAATACTTTTTGGTAAGCAGAAACTACTTTTGCACCACAAATGTTACAGATGAAATTATATCAATTTTAAGTAAGAGAAGTCTTTAGAAAAAAGGTAAGCCTGAAGAGAGAACTGTCTGAACTTTTAAAAATGTTTATTGTTTCTCTGACTGAATTAGATTTTATATTGAAGATATGCTTATAGTAGTCAAAATTAGGGACTATCGTGCCCCTTACATATGAAACTGAAATTGCTAGTTCAGGGTCTGTTAAATACACAGTAAATTGTACTTATTACACAAGGGCTAAATTTGATTTACAAGGCCTAGTTAACTGCAGGTGTGCTGAAGTGTCATTTGAAAGAGAATCTATTTTATTCCTTCTTAGAAACCCCAAGTTCCATATATCAATGTGTTTTAGGTTATAAGAATTACGGCACCGGGCTCCTTGTACAACGTGACTCTTCTATTGTTAGATTAAAATATATATAATTGTCCTGCTCCCTCTGCTGGACACTTTTCTGATTACTGCACAGATATTAAAATCCATCTATGAGGGCATTCTGGAGAGTGAGAATCTAAGAAATCTAAGGCAGGAGGGAACCTCAAATGTAATGTTATCCATCTGCTCACTGTAAGACTGAGTCGGGTACATTGCATATTTTTGCTTGTTTGGTGTAAATACCGGTTCCGAGGGGGTGTCACAGCTTTCCAAGGCAACCTGTTCCAGTGCTGGAGTATCCTTACAATTAGAAGGGATTTCTGAGTTCTAAATACCCCTTACAGCAAGTCGATGCAACTACATGTTGTCCTACTTTCAGTGGGATTGAATAACCACTTTTTCATAGCAATTCATGTTTAACTTAGTGAATTTTCTTATGTTCCATGTCCCTCTCTCAGTTTCCTTTTCATGTCAATATAAAAATGTTAAACTACTTTTTGTTTTGAAATCTTATATCATTTTGTCACACATCTCTGTATTTCTCTCATTTATTTATGCCATTTTGAGGTGCTGTCTTCCAGCCTGCATGAGGTACTTTAGCTGAGGTCATACCACCATCAAATAAAGCTCAGTAATTATTTTCTATATCTTGCATATAGCACTGTTGTTATTCAATCCCTTCTTTGTGACAGTATTGGAGTAGGACTCTAATTTATGTGTCCTTTCAGTTTGACAGCATATTATTGATAATAATACATTAAGCATAGTTTTTCAACCAGTCAGGCACTACTTCATGTTATTTTCACGTAGATCATATTTCCCTGAGTTGCACATGAGTATTCAAGTAGGAATATGTGAAAAGACTTATTAAAGTCACAACATATCTCAAAGTCAACTCGTATCTCACATCTACTTCTTCTGCCTATACATTAAGTCAGTTACCCTGTCACAGAAAGGATTAGATTGGCTTTACATGATTTATTCTTGACAAATGCATAATGGCTATTCTTATCTGTTGTTGCTTGCAAACTGATTGTTTAATAATTTGATCTCGTGTTCTTTGGACATTGAAATTTGGCTGAATGATCTCTATTATTATTTCCTTGTTCTTTGTTTTTCAAATTTAGATACTATCTTTGCCCTACTCCACTTTTCCGTTACCTAGCCTGTCCTCCCTGAATTTTCAAATACACTTATAAAAAGTTCAGAGGTTGCTTTTGCCAATTCATAGAGTAAGTGTCCTCAGGGACTGCTAACTTCGTCTCCTCAAACTTATTCTAGACATATTAAGCCTACTGTTTCTACCTCCTTGTTAATATGACTGCCAGGCATCTGCTTGCATCCCTTTTTTGAAAACTGAAGCAAAAAAGGCATCAGACACTTCAGTCTTTTCTGTGCCATCTGTTACGAGTTTTCTTTCCACATTGAGTAACAGACCTACATTTTCCTCTCTGACTTGTAGCATATGAAACATTTATTTTTGTCTCAGTCCCTGAATAGTTGCGTCTCACTTTTTCGGTGGGTTTGTCCCTTATTTTTTCTTTTCTGTTGGAAGTGTTGGTGCTTCCATTTCTGTATGAGACTTTTTTTTTTGGTTTTTGGGTCTTCACGAAACTTTTGGTATGGCTGTATTTGTCCATTTTTGACTTATCTTTCCTCCATATGATGGTACTGTGCCTGTAATATCATCTGGTTTAGACACTGCTGTACACATTAGCCTTTCCTTCTTTATTTTCCCCTTTAAAATTTTTGCCTGCATTACTTGCTGGTTACCTAACTTTGTTGCCGTATGCTGTATGAGAAATAGCCTGTACTGCTCTCCACTGTTTTCTCCCATTGCTCTCTTCTAAAAGAGAAGGTTGTCATTTGCCTTGCCTGAAAAATTTGTTCTCTGGAATCCATCTGATGTACCTTCAGAAGTCTACATTGTAAATGTCCACAGCTGAGGCTCCCTGTGTAGTTCACAGAAAGAAACGGGCAGTCTAAACGTGGAGTTCATTATATATTTATATAAAATTGATTCCTTAGGATGCGAAGAATGTCTGCATGTGTGCATAGGCACACACAGATATAAATTTGAATATGTGCACACACACGTGAATGTATTGCCCTCTTTCTTTCTGATTTTTTTCTTCCCTAAACAGTTCCAAAACTTCAGTATTCTGTGTTCTCCTGAATCAGCTTCCTATTTCTTCTTGGTGAGCTTTTCCCCAGTGTTTCAGGTCAGAAGTTATTGATAAGTGGGTTTCAGCACCAGAAACAGCTTAAGAAATTAATTCCTGTCCTCCTGTGTCCCCACATATTTGTTTCTACCTCCTCGCTGCAAAAATCCTGGTGGTGCTGACACAACTGCTTCTGTCTCTATGCTTATCCGTGTTTAGCAAATCTTCAACAGCTGTGCCTCCCCCTAACACAGTAACACTCCTAAACCAGAGGGATTTACATGTCGCATAATGCACAACTGGAATCTGCAAATTGCAAGTGAGCGAGAGACAGAGGTTCCCTAAATTATATTGTGTGGTCAGCTCTGTACATTATTCCTTTTACTCCACTTTTACGTCCTTCTTTTTCCCAAGTTCTCTATGGGGCCTAACATCCTTCTGACAAAAGGTTGTGGCATTCTGTCTGCATTTCTTTATGTAGCAGTTTAACTGCCTAAAGGAATTGCTTTTGGTTTTGAGCTCTGCAAAGCGTTTTCCTGCCCCAGAGAAAGAATTCTGTGCAGCACAGCCAGCTCCCTGCTGGCCCAGAGGGCACAAGGCTGGCACTTAGAAATGAGTCTGTCTTAGTCTTGGTAATGCTGAAAACCAACTCTGAACTGTATAATAACAATTAATTGGTATTTAATGATGAATTAGCCTTTATATTTTGTTTAACAGTGCTTTAGACATCCTAGAAGAAATCAATCTATCAACAGGACGTAAAAACAACTTTAGTGAAGCTGCTCTAGAAAAGCTACTTGATAACAATCTTTCCCAAAAGTACAGCCAGATGGGATATTTATCATCTAGTAATGTCATTACTGATGGATTCTATGATTGTGGTCAGGTAAGCTACTTCAAATAAATCACTCAGAGTAAATTTTTCTTCTTGATTTAGAAAAAGTGAGAGTACTATAGCAAAAGCCAGAATCTGGCTACGTAAAACAATTTGTTTTCCTGACCTGAAGTCTTCCAGCTTTTATACTAGTTTCTTTTCATTATCTTTCTTCATGGATGAAGTCCGATCATCCTCACGCTATCCCCCAGTTGCAATCTTCTTCCCAATCCTATGTAAACTGTGCAGACCTTGTTCCTTACCAGACTCTTTCTCAGACGTTAGTTCTTCTGGCCTCTTTCCATAATGCTAACCTGACACTGAGTGACCCATTGACTTTTTGCTTGATTATTTTTACATAAAGAAGTAGAGAATTCATATTTTCACCTTGGTCATGGTCCTTTCTCTCACAAAGCAGCATTTATATATAAAGACTGACTCCGGTGTCACTTGTTAGTGCTTTGTTCAGTTTGAAACCAAGAAGGAGTTTTCAAAATGTCCAAATGAATTAGAAATACCAGTCTTACTGAAAATCAATGAAATTCCTGCTCCTAAAGCACTTGGTTGCTTTTGAAAATTCCGTCCTATATTGTAAAGCTTTCAGAGGCAGGAACATTTCCATATTCCAGAACTGTTTGGAATTACATAGTAACAGTAGCTAAAAGTTAAATTATTTATAAAAAATCCTTTCTAAGATAACCGGTGAAGAAAATGCAAATGGAGAAGAAAACAATTTCACATATTTTTAGTGATTTTGTAAGTTCTCATGTAAGTCTTATGTTAAAGATTAGGAATTTTAAAGTACTCTTCAGGTATCTTTAAAATGTTTTTTTTTCTCTTCATCTTTAACTGAACAGAGCACCTTATCTTTTTTTGCTAATTTTCCTGTAGATAAAACCTGGAGTGAAATTTTTATCTTTGGAGGAACTGAGTATGCAAGAACTTACTGATCGTCGGGCCATAATCCTCGTTAATGCTAAACTACAAGAAGAAGAGTGAGTCGTGTTTGATCTATTAGTATTCATTGCAATAGCTCATCTTTTCCATCGTTTCCACTGTTTCCAGTACAAGCTATATAGTGTGTGTATATATATATGTACACACATATATAAAATAGAGAGATCTGTTTTAATCTGTCACAATGCTTCCTGTCCTAGAAGGCAAGAGGTTTGTATTTTATAAAATAGAAATTTGGAAAATAACTTTTTTTTTTCTTCTAGACAGAAAAGATTTATTCAGTTGAGTTACTTTTTTTAATTTATCCGTTAAAACTCATTCATTTAACACCCTTTGATTCCTGATGATGGGACACCCGATGTTCTATTTCTTATAACAAAGCTTGTCATCTGCCATAATAATTATCTCATCTAAGCTGAACGTCGACATGCGACAATGAAACCTATGATTTGATGATCTTCTTGTACAGACAAATGCATGAAATTTTAAGCACAGCATCCCAGGAGGCAGGACAAAGCCCAGCATCAAGCTTCCAGGCTTGATAAAGAACCTGTGTCCATTTCTTCTGTGTTTAAGTAGAAGCCAGCCTAACAAATCTTCTTAGATTTGAATGCAGGAAGTTGGTATTGGGCTTGTTTAACTGGGAGTCATTTCCTGTAAACAGTCTCACAGATCAAAGAATGCTCTACTAAAATTTTGCAAGTCCAAAACCTTCTTCTCTGTCAACACATCACATATTTGGTTTGCAGTATCATTAGCTTCCCTTTTAAGCTTGTATATGACACCATAAAGATGTCTGAGAATATCTACGACAAGTTAAACTTCCATACTCTTTGCTGATCCCTAGCATTGTCTTTATCAGGTTTTATTTCTTTGACTTTGATGCAGCTTCTTGTCTTTGCATCTTGGCAGCAGTCTTACTCCTGAGTTACTCCTGTGTCCATCATTTGGTATTCCACACTTCATTTTTGATCCCCGTATCAATAACCATTTTATTAGTGCTTATGTTATTTCTTCCACTTTCATACTTCTTATGAATATATTTACTGTCCTTTAAAATCCATTTTCATACCTTAACTTGCAAATACTAACTGAGCAAATAATGTGCAAAAATATCTTGTTCCATTTCAGTTTTTTGGTAGAGGAGAAGGCACAAGATTCATCTTATGAACAGACTATTGTGTCACTTTCTATTTCAAGGAAAGGCAGTAAAGAAAAAGTAAGGTACGATTTTAAGATTTAGTCGTTGTCGAAGTTCTCTTCTTACTCTAACATTAGAAATAGAATTCTGACTGAAAATAGTGATAGACAGTTTCCGAAGAGAGTAAAATTACAGTGTTAATTTTGGGTTTGGAGTCTTTCTTTCACTTCCTAATTGCATTAATCTTCCTTTGTCTATCTTACTAATTATTCATCCTCCCTCCCCATGTTGTATTTGAACATCTCTCATTTATTTAGCAGCTTTTCCTTTCAATATCCCTTGGAGGCAGTGAAATGCTGTTATTTTACAGCTTCACAACCAAGACATGGGGAAATTACTGTAGAAGTTCTTTCTCTGTTTAGAACCTAGGCCCATGAAAAGTTCCTATGCTGCCTACATGTATCCTTATTTCTAGATTATTCTTCCAGTGAAATTCCTTAGATGGCTAAAAGCTGAGAAGAGTGTTCTCAGAACTGTCCCAGTTCTGAGAGCAACAAGCCTAAAAACGTCGCACTCTTTCAGGGCTCCCTCTAGTCCATACAATTCACTGGGTACTGTCCTGCAGTCCTTTCCATGAAACTGATCCGGTGGGCTCGTCTGCTCATACCAAATAGATCAGAACCTCTAACTTTGTTTTGGGAAATTAGTTTCCCTCTTTTACACAAGGAGGATTTGACCATGCCACTCCTACCTGCAGATAGCTGGTCACAAGATATTTGGCTGATTTCTTAGACTGTTTCTATATTTTTGTGTCTATATGTATGTATCTGTGCTCGAGAGATGAAATCTGCAGTAAGAAAGTCAAAAGAAAATTGGAACTTGCTTTGTTATCTCAGTAGTTCAGTGGTATCTCCAGTGGAGGAAAAGCAGGAGTTATCTGGACAACCGTGTTCCCTCAGCAAAAGCAGCACTAGAGAAAAAGGCTTAAGGTATCACACTTTGAATTATATATATATTCAGTTTGTTTAGAACTGACATGCAAATTGTTGGCAGATAATAGATACTGACTGTGAAGGGTTGAGGTTCTGACTTAAATCAGGACCCGAATTGTGAGATTAGTTTATGCGATAGTTATTGACTTCCAAGGCAGACATTTACATTTGAGTGGTTATTTGGACTGCAAGCACTTCTGAAATTCACTTTAAATCATTTCATAGTAGATACCTGAAATGGATCATATGAATTGCATTGTGGAAGGTTCCTGTTTCGGGATGCAAAAGAAAAGATACTGCATCTTCAGTGTCTTACAAGGGCTGTTCTGGCTGCTGCTCACTTAGCAGGTTCTCCTGATGCCCACAATGCTCTGGTCACAACCCACTGTGCCAGTTTGCTCAAAGTTAGCAGGAGGCAAGGGGTGGGGTTTGGTCTCTTCTGCCAAGCAGCAAGTGATAGGACAAGAAAAAATGGCATCAAGTTGCTCCAGGGGAGGTTTAGATTGGATATTAGCTAAAATTTCTTCACCAAAAGGGTTGTTAAACATTAGAACAGACTGCCCAGGGAAGTGGCAGAGTCACCATACTTCCAGATATGTAGGCGTGGTGCTCAGGGACATGGTTTGGTGGTAGACCTGGCATTGCTAGGGTAGTGGTTGAACTCAATGATCTTAAAGGTCTTTTCCAACCTAAATGATTCTACAATTCTGTACTGAGCCGCAGCTATGTTTCCTCTGCACCAGTGGGCGATTCCTTTGGAGTCGTAGACTGTTTTGCATGGTCTCAAGCAGCTTTGCAGAGCTTAGAGACCTGTTCTGACAGAAGAACATGTTTTGTTTATTACAGTGTGAGATGAGGATACCCTTGCATAGTTGCTTTTTAATGTAATTTATGTCTGTTACACAGTAAATAACTGCTCGGTTAGCAACCATATCTCTTCTGGAAGGCAAAAATTTTCTTTAGGACAAACAAATACCTGGCTCATTTTCCCATAGTAAACTTGCAGGGACTTCTCTCTTCAAGTATAAAATAATTGCTTTTGAATGTCATGATCAAGCTGTATGATTTATAACCCCATTGTCATTCATTTTGAGTCCATAATTCATACCTCAGTATTATTATTAATTTGTGAGATATATGGGAGTTACTTGAAGGTCAGTAGCTGACTCCAAGTCTCAAACATACTTAGTCTTTTCCCTATATGTTTTTTTTTCCTTTGATCATGTGCTTCCGTTCATCATTATTTTGCAAAGTACTGCTGAACACAGTTTAAAGCCATTGTTTTGAAAAAGCTATACTGCTTTATGTAAACCGTAGTTGAAATCTAAGAGAAAGGGCAGTTGTAATTGTCTGCTGGAAGTGTTTGAATTAGATGCAGTGGAAGTGCCTAGTCCATAGTTTGACATATATTTGCATAGCCAGATAGCAACATTTCTGATCACGCAGTTGCCTGTCTGATGTACGTATTGACTGAGCTAAAAGATGATATTTAATGTAGACTGATAAATGTGGATTTATTCCATGTTATGTTCTAGTGCAGCATTTGAGGAAGTACTTCCCAAAGCTCATGTACTCCTTTCCTAAAGACAGCTAAGGCATTAAGCTATGCAAAAAAAGGAAGGAAAATAGGTGTCATGGCTGTCTTTTGGTGGTTGGATGCCATATCTGCTGCCTCTTCCTCACACTGACTGACTGACTGACTCATTGGACTTTTGTGCTGAAGTTGCAACAGGAAGCAGAAATAGCTTGGAGACTATTAACTGCCCTGAGTTCTCCTTTGTAATATTCCTCTGCATTTGCAGCAAGTAAGACAGCAGTAAGACAGCTTTGGGAAAGGGGAGTGATTTTTTTCCCGATGTCATAATTCCCACTGGTAAATAAAATGGGGATAAAAAAAGATAGTAGACATCTACTGTAATGGTTACTGGTTATTTTATAGCACTGACCTGTAAGCCAGCACCTCCGTAGTTCCTCATGAGATAAGTATTAGACAGCCATGATGAGCTGAAGCGCTGAGGATTAAGGTAGAGACAGGTGTGAAAGGCAATCTTAACACAGCCATTCCACCAAGGAACAAAGCAAATCACTGTTTGAACCCTTCCCTCTGAAGTGTTTTCTTCCTGAAAACTGGAAAGGACAGTAAGAGTGGTTCAAGAGCCATTTGAGTAGATAGGAATGGGGAAAAAATTCTTCTGATATAGCACTGAAATGTGGTGGTGCATTTTTCATAGGGAGATGAAAGTTATGTGGGGGTAGAATAGAAGAGCAGGGGACAAAGAGAGAAAACAATCAAGGAACAGGAATTATTCGCTAATAATCCATATAATTCCATTATATCTACCATTTGTAGAAGCTGTCATTTCAAAAACCTGCTAAGTCAGACACCAGTGAGTCAGGGGAAATTCAGGTTTTTTTAGACAGAGTATTCTTCACCGTAATATGTAAGTGGAGAAGTAGGTAGCTGTTTAATCTAGCATTAAAGGCTTCCCTGGCTATAGTTAGATAGAATCAAATTAGATAAAAAAAAATCTGTTTGTCTGCTTTTTTCAAGTATAATGTAATTAATAACCAGAATGGTTTAGTTAAGAGGATGGTGGATTTTCTATAATTTTAAGATTAAATCTTAATTGGTTATTCTTCTAAAATAATGTGCTTTATGAAACCTATGAAAAGGGCTTTTTTTGTGAATATGGTAAATCTCAATAGGTAAAAGAAAAGTTTGCAAAGTATTCAGAAGACAAATTGCTTGAATTAGACTACTGATAATGATATGCCCTTCTGCATTTCCAGTGCCTTCTGTCTGAAGAGTGCTGTTCACTGTAAAACTTAAAGGATATATGAAGAGCGTACAATAATGACAGTGTGCCCTGCAGCCATGTACTCTAGTGGTCCTTTTTTTTTTTTAAACTTTCAAGAATTCCAGTATTATTATGGATTTTAAACAATAAGCCAGAACTGTTAAACAAAGGAAAGAAACTTTGTCATATTTCGCAGTAGAATTATTCAGGACCTATACTGAAAAAAGATACAAAACACAAGTTCCTTGTATTCCCGCAGATGAAAAATCCTAAACTATCTGATTGTATAGATCTTAATGATACTTCTGGTAAGATACTGATTTTATAGTTATTGCATAACTTGTGAAATGCTGACTATTCATTCTAAGGAGAATGAGCATTTCATTTATACTTCTGCTAGGTGCTTATGATGCCTATTCAGGATGACAGACATCTTTCAGATCCTGAGCACTACTGAAATATGTAGCACAAACAATGAAAAAAATCAGCAAACACACAAGGCTTCTTGTAAAATCTTCATCTGACAACCCACGTTGTGGTTTGCATAATGCTTGAAGTACCTGGACTTGCAACTAGAGAGACTACTGCTTGGCATGACCTGTTAAGCTTTCAGCCTCTTGTTACCATTTATTCCTTCATGTGAAGTCCAGATTTCTATCAAGTGAAAACTCATTGGAGTTCATGATTTTCAGTTCATATCCATCTGGAGCCAAAGCACAACTGTCTGAAAATGTTTCTGATGTGTATGTTGCTAAGTGTCTCCCGTCCTAGATTATCCATATATGGGAAAGGCATATCAGAGTCATAGTCAAAAATAAAATGAGAATTTTCAGCAATATTAATAAGGAGCTAGTGGCATTTGGTTCCTAACCACCTCCTGAGAGCATGTTTCACAACTGTTCTCTACAGCTTTGTAAATTTTGGAGTATTTATTATCAAGAGAAAAGATTTCTCCCACCCCCCCTCAAATGAGTTTATCTAAGATGGCCTGCTGAAGAGCTACTATATCTGAATTTGCACTTTTGAGATCACAGTATTCTAAATAAGTGTATGTTGTTTTCTATATATAAGAAAAGGGAAGGGGAAAAAAGAAGAGGAAAAAGCAGAAGAAGTTATTCAGATTACATCTATGGTCCAGGATGAAAAAAATCTAGAAAATTCACATTGGCCACCTCCACCTGACCTCATTTTACTGGATTACATTAATGATGCTTCCAGAACAATTCTGCCACTAACTACTACCCGGGAACAGGTTGTGGCTCTTGCACAGTAAGTACCAAATTACATTTCCATAAATAATGTGACTCATTAGTTTCACTGACTACTCAGCCTGGGCACCAATCACTGTCATCTTCAAGTATTGCTTTCATCTTCTCCTTAGTTTAACCTTTACTATCTTAGCAGTTTCCTGGCTACCTCCTGAATCTGGGGACTTTGGCATCAGATCCCACTGCATCTCACAAAATTTGTTTCTTCTACTAACTCTTGTTTTAGTGAAGTGGTCTAATGTCATCTGAGGAATGACTTTTCTGTTGACTGCAAAATTTGACAGGACAGATACTCGTCCTTAACTCTCCAGCTGTGTATAAATCATGCTGCCTTCCTCAAGGTGGAATCCATAAAACGCTCTTTCAAATCCGCTCTTCAAACACACCAGTGAAATACTTGCAGGCACACAAACCAGCGACACAATCACGGGAAATCAAGTAGGCTGTTTTCCGTGGGGATTTTTATGTCTATGTTCCATTTCGAGCGGCCGCCTGAATAGCGTGTGTTGAATGGGAAGGGGAGGAGGAGGCAGCTGCGGCAGCCTGGCAGCTTGAGCAGAGCTCCCGCTGCGCTCGCCGGGGAGGCAGCCGAACACGCGATGGTGGTGCTGCCTGGCTCCTTTGAAGCTAACGCTGCACATCTTTGTGCGCAGGCGGAGTGGTGTGCACGCAGGCTCAGGAAACTTTGCTCTCTTCTCTGAGGGCTGGCTGTGGGCACAAGCAGCACAAGTGGCTGCCTGGAGCCTCCCACTTCTTTGGGTTTGCCCAGCTTGAAGAGTCCAGGTTTAGCCTGCTCGGTGATAACTGAGAGCCCTCTGTAACACGGTGGCTGAGGACACCGTGAGGAACAAAGATCTTTACATACAGGGGCCATGCATGGGGAGATGAAGGGGGAGGTGTGAGGACTTAGAGATGAGAGCTTGATCCCATGTGTACACAGTCACCCAAAAGACATGCTTTTGGCAGTGTTTGCACAGATTGTAGGATCTGATCTTCAGATTCTTTGACTGAGACATCCTTTTGATGGATAAATACACACTTCTCACTCCCCAAATATTGGGTTCAATATAAAAAAAAAGCAAATGTGGAAATTGAAGTGCTCTTTATGGGTATAGTCGCTTTCTTATGTTGAGATCATCATCTGTGACTTTGTTTTTGTCATATATGTTCTTATGCCTTTATTACTATTTCAAAAAAATGGTAGGGCTGTGGATTGTAACATGTAGCACATGTAACCCGTTAGCTATAAAGATAAATAGAGTAGCTTCTGAAGTTTTTCTGCAGTAATTACACTGTTACTGATGATTTTCTCCAAGGACTAGACTTGTCCAGAATCTCTGATGACCACTGTTGCACCTTGGTTTAGGTCTGTGACAAACGTGAATGAACTGAGTTATGGTTTTCTGTATTTAACAGCAAGTATTCTTTAAAATTACAGTTATTGTATTAAAAATAAAAAGCAAACTAGCAAAAGTATTAAAGTCTTGTACATAATTCACTTATTGCTTGTATACATTTCATTTTGCTATGTTTTTGTGATAAATACAAGGGGAATTATAGATCTTAATTGATCCCAGCATTCATTGGAACAGGTTTGTTGCAGACAAGATGGGTGGCCCGACTGAAAGAAACAAACTACATGACTTCAGCTGGGAACTTCACATAAGTGAAATAGAATTTGAACTGAAATGCAATGTTGTGCCTATTGGGAAAGTCAAAAAAGGGACGTTCTACCACAGAGCTTTACTTTTCAAGGTACATTAATATTTATTTTACAACATAACTTCTTGATGTTAAATGGCTATTATAAACTACAGTATACTTGCGTAAGTATAATATAATATTTATATTCATGTAAAATCTCTTGTATACACTTAAGTAATTTTTCACTGGTGAAGTTGATTTCCCAGTGAATGAAAGCCAGCATCGCTTCTTTCTGTAAACATTCTTGTTGTCATTAAATTGTCTTAAGTGATATCAGCAGGGTACTTGATAAATGGCAAGAAGCCAAAATATTTGATCGGGAGTCAAAACATTTTACATTTTCTGTAAACTGTAAAATATTGAATTATGCAGCTTCCTTTTTTTTTCCCCCCATGTTCAAATGTAAACTTGCTGGGACAATTTTTATTTGGTATCTATCCAGCATTCTATAACAGCTTTATGTTCTCGTTTCTTAGACTGGGAAGATTCGCTTCTCCCTTCACATGAAGGTGTACTGGTGCAGCCTGCTTGTCTGTCCCATCCTTGCTCCTTGGCAGTTGGGTAGCTGGACTTTGCTCCTTCTTGGATAGAAAGGAGAAGAGAAGCAGGGGCCTGGCACATTAAGTGAGAAGGACCTAGGAAACAGTACATACGAGAAAGAGTAAAATCCTAAATCTATGGTGTCTGTAGGAAAAGTTCCCAGCATATTTTACAGAGTTCTGAGGGTATGAATTAATAGAGCTGAAGCAGCACCAATGTTTGCTTACCCTCCACTGTCCTAAGAAGCCTTTGTAGGGGTGGATCGTCTCTCCTCAAGCCACAGCAGTGTAAGCAGTGGATATCCTTGTCCATTTTTAACAAGTTAAAAATATTCCAGGATTTCATTCCTTCACAGCGGATCATTCTGAGAAAGCAGATATGTAGCTGGAAACCATTATAGGTCTGTCAGTGATGGTGCAGTACAGAGGAAAGGCAAGTGTTTCATCTAGCAGACGCCTCGCGTTTCATTGCTTCCCACGTTTGCAGGGCTGAAAAGCAAGGACCGGGCTTTGGAGCGAAGCAGCAGTCGTAAACTTACACTGATAAAACTTGCATTTTTACGCTTCATATTTCATACTACCTATATGTGTGCAACGTACCTACACCTCATTGCTTGAATAGACAGTTCTTCAAAATGTTATTCAGAAATAAGTCTTCCAGCTAGAAAAAAACATTGCTGGGTACTGTGGGTGTTGCACTTCATTTGAGATCTGAAGGACTGGCTGATAAATGAAGGTATCAGTGTCTGAAAAGAGTTAAAATGAATATTTTTCATGTTGTGCATAGAACATGGTAGAAATAACATTTAAAAGCCTGAACTTTCTAAGCAGGACCAATAATAAAGAATTTTAGTTTGGAACACTTTAGAGATTTACAAAATCTGTTTCAGGAAAGCTCTTTGCCTTTCGAATGTTTGTTTTGTTTTTAAACATCTCTCAGCCTTGCTGTATATCACAGAAGCCACATGTATTAACTGTGATTAACTCGTTTTTCTTCCCTTTTTAGGTGCTAGCAGACAGAATTGGTATTGGCTGCAGTTTAGTTCGTGGCGACTATAACAGAGCTTGGAATGAAGTTAAATTGGTTGATGACTCTTCTCAAGGAATAAGCGGGCTTCTGCTTCCTCCTCAAGAATACGTTGTAGATCTAATGTTTGAGCCAGGCTTTTTGATGAAACAGGGAAGTGCAGAGGCAGATCAGTACAAACGTATTTAATAATCTCAACAAATTTCACCAAAGTAACTATTTTAAAGATGTTTATGATACTAATATTTATGAAACATAAGGGATTTCAGGTCCAGCTATGAAAAATAAATGTATCTGGTATGTTCTCCTACGCATTTAATTAAACATATTTTAGGTGTCCAGCTTCAATGCTTAGAAATTTAGTTAGTTTTTTGCAAAACTACATTTTAAAATTTGGTAGATTGAGAATATTTGCTATGTGTTAACATTATAATGCTTATTAAATAAGTTTAATTTCCAAAATACAGTATATACTTTATTTTCTCATGTTTCTTCAATGCTTATGCACATTTGTAGGAATTATATGTCCACGAAGCAAGAAAATGTGACATCTGGTGAAATAACAAGTCAGATAAAACCAACTGGACCGTTTTTTTTGTGTGAAATAACCCAAGACCTGAGAATTAGAAAAACTAGAATAACAGTATACTTTCAGCCTCTGTAGAAAATAAATATCTCATTTATATTTCATGGAACTTCGTAGAGCTAATAATTACAGATAATAACATATCCTACATGAAAGTAAATGCTGTTTGTCTTGACACAAGGAAGACAGATGATTTATAAGTTATTGCTTGCAGTCTCCCTTTAAATTATTTAGTTTTCACTTGAAGGTAAACTGGACTCTGAGCAGCAGCAGTTTTAGGCAAGGAATTTGTATTTCTTGCAGCCTTGGGTAGCATGGTATTGCTGAAGTGCAGTGGTGCGTCTAAGAAGGGTAAAACACTGGAACACTCTAGTACTAAACGCTTTCTGGTGAAGCTGTCAGGAATGTACTGGAATATTTCAGGGAGCATCACTATCAAGGGAGTTTACTGTGGAAAACTGAGAAAAAGTCCTGTACGTGCAAAACTGGAAGACCAGAATGCCAACAACAAGGCATTTACTTCCTGCCTACCAAAAATATGATAAAAAAACATGGGATCTGTGTTCCTTGAGCTTTTTTATGTTTGTATGAGCGCAGTCACTTGTATCGTCTGCGTAGGTTTGAGGAGGTTTGTATGTGTTGTATTCATTACTGCTTGTGAGCATGACCCCATCACTGCCCCTCCTTTCTCCTCTGACATGCAGCATAATTTTCTGGTAACCCTTTGGGGAACATTTCATCTCTTTGTTGTAAATTCACTTGTTTGGCCTCATGTTCATTTTTTTGCCTTATGTTCAGCA